GTGTGTGTGTGTGTGTATGTGTGTGTGTCACTGGCTGCTCTCCGGTTAGCGTGTGAGTGATGAGCCGCAGAGCAGGCGTCTGAGGCCCGAGCTGCTCTCAGATGGGGCTAATTGTCTGGTGGCCATTTTAGAGGAAGTGTTTACAGGGATGAGAAATGGCTGAATCTTCTCTTTAGTCACACGCTCTCGCCCGTTCTCCTTGCAGGCTGCACACGGTGGGCCTCCTCCAGCCGCCACTGGAAGACGTCCTAATGGCTTAATGATGAAAGAATAAGATTACAGGTCTAGGGATCAACAGGAAGCAAAAGAGGAGTCGCTTCTAATGCACTTTTTTCCCCTAGTCACGGAACCAGAGCGCAGATTTCATTCTGTCAGCTTTCAGCTGCGGCTAATGCGACAGTACAAGAGACAGCCCTGCAGGCCTCCAGCCACACTAACTCATGAGAGAGAGAGGGAGAGGGTGGAAGAGGGCGAGCTGGGAGCCTTTGTGCAGTACGCACTGAAATTGTTTGATGAAAAGATGAATCACTGCTGTTTGGGCTTCGGTTTCCTGCACCAGGACGGCTGCTGGAGATGAATTGTCAGGACTTGCCTCCCTTGGAAGGCTTCGGGTCTCTCTCCCCAAAGAATCTGAACGAAAACGAACCTCCCCCTGCACCTCAGACCCCATCCTGTGTGTGTGTGTGTGTGTGTGTGTGTGTGTTCAGTACGTGTGTGTGTGCGTGCAGGAGCACAATTTGCCCTCTGGCCGACTGGGGAGCGTTATCATTCCATCTAAATTCCTCCCCTCAGGCAACTAAATAAAAAATGTACTGTCAGGTCGTTTTTGATTAGGCTGTCGGCCGGATGGATGGAGATGCGCTGGGGAGAGATGCAGAGAGGCTAACTAAGGACCTGGCTGTAAGCGAGGGGTGTGTGTGTGACGTGAGTGAGTGAATGTAATCAGTGTTGTGTGTGTGTGTGTGTGTGTGTGTGTATAAACGTAGCATGTATAGGATGATCGGCTTCACCGCCATTTCTGCCATTATCTCCACATCAGAGGTGTCATTATGGCCGCCGCCACTGTAATTCTCCCTGGTAACATCAGCCCTAATGCTGAGGGTGTCCTTGCTCCCTGCTGTCCTGCGCTGTCCCCTCTATAGGCCGGCCTTTGATTGACACACTGGGGCTGCCCGTTACGCTAGACAATATGACAAAAATATAGCATCATGATGCTCACAGGGTAATTCCGATTTATCACATTTCCTGCATGATTAAATCACCAGGCAACATTCAGGTTGGTTTGATGTGAAAGGGAAACTAACCAGAATTCTTCACAGTGGCTGTGATGGGAAGAGTTTGATGCCTCTGAAAGCTCCTTCACAGAGAGTTCTAACATGAAATTGTGATGAATACACTGCGTGATGCCTGAGGCATTGTGTTATAGTAGTTTTGAGATGAGGATTTGGTCAAAAAGTATTTGTGTAAATCTGTTGATGGCGGAGGGGCACATGCAGGGTATTGTAAGGCAAAGAAGTTTACTGTCATACCCTACAAAAACACTCAGATGTGAAGCTTTACCTGCTATTTTGGACAGTAAATAAAATGGCTGTGTGCGCATTGTGGTCATCGTGACCCCTGGTGCCAATGACCACCACTGTGAAGAAATCACAGTTTGTAGGTTTCTCCCTAATGCACCACTTCACATTAAACTCCTCTGAATGACTTTGTTTGCATCTCAGTGATTGAGTTACACAGATATTTTGAAAAACTTGGCGCAATCACTGGTGTAATTCCCACTTGCCATATTAATAATTACTATTCAGTTCTATTCATATTAATTACTATTCACTTTTACCATTGGTTTATCAACACTGTAGTTCACAGCTGTTATTAAATAATACATATTATTAAATAATAAACTGATCTATTTACAACAGGGATGCACAGCTCTGGTCCTGGGGGGCTGATGTCCAGCACAGTTTGGAGGTTTCCCCACTCAAACACACCCACTAAACCTGGAATTTAACAGATGAGTATAGTCAGGTGTGTTTGAGTAGGTAAAACACCAAGTTGTGCTGGAGTTGTGCACCCCTGATTTATGGGAATTTATTGTGGTGAATTTACTATGACTACCTATTTGATCAGCAAGATTTACTCACCGCATTTCAAATATGAAGCATTCTGGGTGTTCATTTTATTTCAAGTTCAATTTCCTCATCTTTACAACTTTCTACAAGTTGTTTGAAACTGTTGCTATTACATTAGAACCATTGTATACATAAACGGAAGGAAGCTTGGTTTATTACTGAAAACTTTTGGATGCAATCATGAGGTTTTTTAAGTTGAGGTTTGTTCAATTGGAAGAGACACAGTGCATCTTGAAAGCTTAGGAGCCTCTGTTAAATCTCTTACAGTGAAAGATTTGATTTATATTGAAGTACACATCAGATAAGAACACATAACATCCAAGATATGCACAGAAAGGTTTATCAAAACAAGTCATCATGTTAACGATATATCATCTAAACAGTTCGGCCAATTGTAGACGAAGGGCCACAGTACACTGCCAGTGAGGCACTGCAGACTTGATGTCTGAAAGATCAGTTTTGGAGCTGATGGACAATTTTAACTGTGGTATATTGATATATTGGTATATTATCTTAATTCAGATCCAATTCTGAACTTTTCTCAGGACTATTTTAAAACATTGTGCTCTACATTCACTAAATTGTGTTCAGCATCACCCATAAAATAAGCCTGACAGACGCCAGCTAGCTGTTAAAGTACAACAGGCATTTCATATCTTTTCTGTTTTATGTACTTCTCATATAAACCACATGAATGTACATGTCGGATGAATAAGCTCCTCTTCAGAGAAAAATAATGCTTGACTTTGACAGTTGAAAGCAGCATAACACGCCCAGTTCACCTTAGGAAAGGTGGATCAGGTGTGTTGAGTGCAGGGAAACTGTAAACTCTGCAGTGCCAGGACCAGGATTGAGAACTGTGCATTATACTAGTAGTTGGAAACTTTAGTGCACTTGAAATGTGCACTGTGTGGATGTATTAAAAGTACATATCGCTGCTGTCGGAACAAAACCCAAAACCCATATCTCCAAAATGATAACTTTACAGGAGAAGGAAAAGACATACTTAACTTTTAATGTAAGTCAATGGAACCGACTTTTTGTCCAAGTAATTTTGGGCTGTTTCTTTTGGTCCAATGATCATGAAATTTACTCACAGTGTAAAGGGTAACAGGCATATTAAAATGATGTGAAAAACTGAAAAATGATAATGTAGTTTTGTTCCCACAGCGGCGATATATTGAATATCAGGCAGAGTCTGGTAAGGATGAGGGCATAAAAACTCCCAAATTATGCTTTTTTCCACAATAAACTCAGTCCATGCCATCTACTATTGTCTCCAGTCCTGATGCAGGTGGATTTGTGTGAATGAGCAGCGCGTGGCGGTCAGCAGTGGGAGGCAGATGGTGTCGAACTGAATCCTCTTGGCCGTGCCTTCCGAGAAACCTCCGGCCACTGCCCACATGGAAATGTTTTACAGGCCCAGAAGAGGAACTGACTGTTCTGACAGCGGCCGCTTGGAGTGTGTCTGCAGTTTGTTAGCGGCGGGTGGGGAGGCGGGAGGTTTCTATTTCGCTGGTTTGGTGGCGTTTCGCTTGCAGAGTACTCATCTGTTTGTGTCCGTGTGCGTTTCTGTGGTTCATGCTGATGGAGGAGTTTGGAAATATATCTGTTTGCTGTGTGTTCTCTGATAAACACACACACACAGGCTAAGGCCGTGAGAAAACAGGAGAGGGCTGGTTCTCTCAGTGTGCAGTAGAGGAAAAAAATCATCCCACACACCCGGAGTCTTAAAGCCTGACTGTAATTCCAACAGGTTTAGCAGGAAAAAAAGGAACTGGGAGTGTGAGTGTGTGTGTGTGTGTGTGTGTGTGTGCGTGTGTGTGTTTTCCCCACATGTGTGGGCATGTGGTTGTGTGTGTGTATATGTGTGTGTATGGTGCCAGCCACAGGTCTGGTTGCAAACGTCATGCTGTCTTTCACGGTTTGACCACAAAGCAGAATGTGTTCTGAAACTTGTTTGTGCTGGCTGACTTCCTCCAGGCTAAAAAAGGCCTCAACTCATTGAAATCAGTTACTCTGGGTTTCAATTCTCTCACCTTTTAGCATTAGACACAATAGGGTTATCTGTAAATCACACAGCTGACAGTTAAACCCCCCTCTCTCTCTCTCTCTCTCTCTCTCTCTCTCTCTCTCTCTCTCTCTCTCTCTCTCTCTCTATTTGTCTCTGTCTCTGTCTCTCTCCTCTTTGTCTATATATATAAATATATATAAAATCTTACATTTTGCCAAACCAATCAACCATACAAAATTCCCAGATAAACTGTTTTACATATACTTTTGGATATTAGTATGTATTTATTTTATGTGTCTGCTGGCGATGATTCTGTTTGCTTCGGGTTTGATGTGAAATATGTTATTCTAGAAAAACTTGAATTGAAACAATTGTTCACAGTGGTGGTGATAGGAACCAGACATCTGAAGGGCTTAATGCTTCTAAAAGCTTCCTTACAGCAAGTTATTACATTAAATGGCTCAGAATACACGGCCTGATGACTGAGACATTGTTTTGTCATAATTTTGAAAACGTTTGGCCCAAAACGTATTTATTAAAATCTGTCCATGGTGGAGAGGTACATGTAGGGTGTTGTTAGTAAGTTGTCAGTAAGTTTTTCTTCAATGCAAAATTTCATTTCAAACCACCCTGAATGACTGTTCACATTTCAGTTATTTAATTATGCAGACATTTTTACAGATCGATGGAATTTCCCTGTAAGTTAAGGTGTTGTGAAAGCATTGAGATGTTTTTCATACATCAGTCTTTTAATCAGTGCACACAAGCTTTCACACATTCAGACTTCCATATTAAGATATTATTTTGTGTAACTGTCTCTCTCTCTCTCTCTCTCTCTCTCTCTCTCTCTCTCTCAGGTGGAAGAGCAGTGATGTCACAGAGTTGAGGACACTCCCACTCAGTGAGTATTCTGTTACCGTTACTGCTTCTTATGTCACTGCTGGCTGTTGCTCTTCTTCCTATTTTCCTTCTCATCATTACGAGTCGAGTTGTGAAATTTAGTGTCAAGGATATCTGCTGTAACGTTTGTCTGAAATAATTGGAAGCTGCGAATGAAACTCAGACTGTCGATTTAAAACCTAATTTAATTTCAGTCTTTAGATGTGAGATTTGTGAGTGTGTGTGTGTGTGTCTGTGTCTGTATGTGTTCTCATTTTCCAATTAGATGAAACAAACCTTTCCAAAGGCAGTTGTTGCGGTGACATTACCTACATGCACTTCTGTGTGTTCTCTTCTTCTTCTTCTTCTTCTTTTTTTTCAATGAGGATCTTTTAATTTGGCAATTAATTACGGCGCGGTAGCTGAGGAAGGTGCTGTTACAGGGGCCGAGCCATTGCTCTGGAGCAAACAAATCAGCTTTGTGCCGCATGCTGCAGCAGGCTAATTGGTGGAGCACAGGCTTCTCCTAGCGAAGTGTCCGTCCTCTCGCCGCTATCTGCTCAGCCGCTTCGCTTCATTGTTCAGGTCCCTGGTGGTCGCAGAGAATGACAGAAATACAAGGACAGTCATTTTCTCCCCCAACTCTCCTTCTCTTTCTCATTTCTCTGCTTTCAGTCTCTCGTTTTCCCTCCTACTTTCTGCATCTCCAGTCAAAAATGTTAAAACCTTACTAGTGAATCAATTAATGGCACTATTGGCAAGATTAGTCTGCATTATTTAGATACCCAAATTCATCAAAACACCCACAGAAACACTCATCTGTAGTGCGAAGACTAGTATTGTGTGATGGGGAACCTTTGGTGAAGGGTTCAGGCGTTTAGGCCTTCTGGAAGTCATAGGTACATCACTGACTACGGCCCAATCCCATTTCACCCCTCGCCCCTACCACTTAAACCTTACCTCTCCATTTAGAGCTACACGCCCCCCCTAAACAGAGTGTTATGAGGAAAAAAAGAAAAACCGGCAAGATGGCTGCGCAGGCGACCAAAGAAACCCACAAATGTGAGAATTTTCTCTGTTAAAAAAATACGATAACCATTGTATTGTCTTAGTTTAATGCCTTTTTTTCTTCATAACCACCAGAAAAATTGATAGTACTATGCTGATGTCTCGGTAACTGGCTAGCTAATTTTTCCCGTTCCACCTTAAATGGTGTAGCAGTTACGTTCTGGCATGTCAGGCATCGGAACTGCAGCGTCATTTAAGGTGGAATGGAAAAATTCTAGCAGGAAGCTGGCGAATACCTGACTTCAGCTTCATATCACTGAAGAAGGGGTGGGCGATAATAAATAATTGTCAACCCCCACTTTGAAAGCAGATGATGCCCTAAATGTAACTAAAGCCCAGCAGTGAGGAGCTGAACTTTACCCTCCTCTGCTGTCACTGCAGACTGGCAGGGTCGCCTACAGAGCAGCGCTTGTAGCCTGTTAATGAAGTAATGCTCTTTATTACTTGAGGGTTCTATTTTGTAGTGGAAGATTTCAACCACTTCCCCTTATAACTCTGTGACAAGCATAGGGGTAAAAATGAAAAATGGGATCGGGCCTTAGAATACAAGCGTGAGCGGTGGCCTAACCATTGGGTTTCTGTTAGGTGTTAGGAATTGGAAAACAGTGGCGGCAGTTGTATCCCAGGGCACTATACAGAAGGAGTCACTGTAAAACTGCAGCATAAAAGTAAAAAAAATATCTAAAGCTTTCTTGCAAGATTCAAATAAAGCATAGAGAATGTATTTTACAAGCTTTAAAGCCAGGCTTAATCACAATCTTGTTGTTTGGTGACAATCAGCACTGCATGTTTGAATTGCGTGATTTACATACATACACTGTACAAAAGCACTGATTGACGTGCTATGACGAAGGTGTCCACACTGCATGACAAACGCAACCCCCTGCAGACAGCTCTGTCTATGGACAGCTCCCAATAAAGCTGTTACATTCAAAATACCACGCTGCACATCGAAGTACCATGCGAAAAAGAGAAACCATGCTACAGCAGCTTTGTTACTGCTACACTGTGTACTGCCACTAAAACCAGGCAGTGATGTACATGGTTAGGACAATATGGTCACTCTACGCTCTGTTTTACAAAGTGCACCACCATTAGCTTAATGCTATCGTACTATTAGAAATACCATAAGGATGCTAGCAGAAATTAGCATTATTATATAGGTGTTGAATTTTTTTTTTTAATCCATTTTTATCCATACTTCATCACTGATTTTGCGATAATGCACTTTAACGTAATGTGTGCTCCGACCTCCCTCCTCCAACAACAATCTAGAGGACAGCAGTTACACCACAAAAAAAAAGAAAAGATGCCAGGTGGCTAGTTCAAGCGAATAGGCAGGTTTAAAAGACGTACCTCCTGGGGACGCTTAAAGAGGTTTAATGGTTATCTGTAGTTAATGTAGTCTGTTGTTTTATATAAAACAATTTGTTTTTGTTTAAAATGATCTTTGAATCGTTCAAATACTCAGTGCCTATTTTGCTGTTGCAGTTTTGGCAAATTTTGAATATGGCCGGTTCAGGTCACAGCAGAATGTTAATTAAAATGAAATAAAAAGACAGATTTGTTGAGATTTTAAAATACGGCCCTTTTAGTGGTTGAGTTTGACCCCCCGCTCTACATGGTGAATACTTAGTGTGCATGTTAAGAATATAGCACATAGAGCCTGAATTGAGACGCAGTGCTCCTTCTTTCTCTTTCTCTTTTTCTCTCTTGCTTTCTGTTTTTCATTCGCCCTCTGCGCTTCGCATTGATCCACCCTCTAACAGGAGTGCTGATATAAGGACGTAGGTTTTTTTTGGTCATTAATTTGTATGTAAATGCCATCTGAGATGTAATGTGTTACAGCAGCGTGGAGGCTGCGTATTCTGAGCATGTACAGGTGGACTCACTGATGCGTTCGTTCCCGTTTCTCAGAGCAGTTTCTCAGCCGTATATGTTCGTGGTGTACGCGGTATGACCTGCATTTGCATTCAAGGGTTTTGTACTAAGGGTCCGTGCTCCACCCACGCGAGCCTGTGAGAGCGACAGAGATGGAAAGGCGTAGGGGACAGTCCACTCTCCTACACATCACACCTGCTCCTGCCTTTGGCAGCCGCCTCGGCCCATGTCCCTGCCATCAATAATGGTAATAGAGGCTCCGTCGGAGCATTGATTTTTGGGAAGTGTAGGAAAGAGCGAGGCATTGTCCACTCTCTGCGGCACGACTCCCATTTTGTCCTTTCTCACTCGTCCCTAGTAGTGTCCAGTCTACTTGAAGGTCTGGTGAAAAATCTAATTTGTACAGTTTTCTTTTGGCTAACACATGGAATTTTGGATGTTTGCTTCTTTAGGTTTTAGTTAATCTAAAGATTTGTCAGAAGAAAAAATCTTTGAAAAGATCTAGGAAAAATATGAAAGACCTGGTAAAATTCTCAAACTGTCACCATCAAGTACAAATCAAGCAAGGAAGCTGCTGGTGATCAACATGTGTGTGTTTTGTGCTTTGGGATTACTTGAATTGTAAGAAGAAAATTTAACCAACTTCTAAGAGTGAACTTTGGAAGTATGGGCTGTAGATCTCTTTGAAAACTGAAAGCAAATTTCCTGAAAAGAATTGATTTATTTTTTCAGACCTGATTATTAAATTCTAAAACCTAAAAAACTCGTGTGCAGGAGTCGTGTTCCCTGAAGTGTTGAGACCTGGCTTGTGACTGGCTAAGTCCATTCCGCTGTTGCGTGGTGTTGCTTCTAGGCAACAAACATATTTCTGCAAATTCTAATAACAAAAAAATATATACTGCATGTTAAAAAAGAGGTCTAAATGTGCCCACTAAGAGATAGTATGATCAAGCACATGCTTTGTATTGACTTACTCAAACTCTTCCCTTTATTATTAACCCTATCGTTGTCTTAAAATATGTATAATGTTAATGTAAAGTGAAGAAAATGAGTTTGTTGCCCTTGGGCAACATCGTGCAATGGACGGTTAATGGCTGTTTTGATTGGAAATGAATTAAACGAAGGCTATTCTCTGGCTTTTGCAAAGTATAACCTTCCATTATTTGTTAGCTACATTAGCCTCAAAGCTCTGGTGCAAAACTGAAGAAGCCAACTTTCAGCACCAAATATGTCTTAAGTATCCTTTTAGGTCTTCCTGCATTGTCGTTACAAACAAAAAAGTGCCCCTCTTCCTCTCCCGCTGTCCTTAAAGAGGATATACGGTTACACGACCACCAAGCGTGTCATGGCCTGGTAAGAATGGAGGTTATCCAGAGGGCTGCACACACACTCCCTCAATCAGCCTGCTGTTCCTCATGAAGAAAACACAGGGAGGAATGAAGCTGGGGGGGGACACCCAAAGGGACTTCCAAAAGTTGAGGCAGGCGGAACATCTCCACGGAGCAGAGTCTTCCTCAGCGTGTGGGGCAGATAGGAGCAGATTTGGGTGTCTCTCAGGACGCGGCGGGGACAGCCATGAGACAAGCCACGTTATTATTTCCCTCCGTTCATGATGGAAAGTTCGACGCACTTTCTTAAAATATCTGTGCTAAACTAGCCTTTTTTTGCATATCAGCTGTACTCTCTCTCTTTCTTTACCTCGCTTTCTCTTCAGTTCTGTCTTGTGTCTTCCTTTCAGTGTTTTCCTCTTTATTTGTCTTTCTCTTTTACTGAACATTCTCATGAGCAGTGGTTTAATACCTAACATTTCATTTCACAGAATTTATGTGGTGGCAATCTCTCTCTCTCTCTCTCTCTCTCTCTCTCTCTCTCTCTCTCTCTCTCTCTCTCTCTCTCTCTCTCTCTCTCTCTCTCTCTCTCTCTCTCTCTCTGTGTCATCTGTTTACTTGTGTCTCTCCTTCTCTCTTGCTTTTTCTTTCCCTATCTTTAGTTCTGCCCCCTCTCGTGAGCCCTTTTTTAATACCACCCATCTTTTTTCTCCTGTGTCTTTTCTGTCCTTTTTTTGTCTTTCTC